CTTGGTTATGCCAGCCACCATGGCCACCTCCGGCAGCGCCAGCTTGCTGTCCTCCTGGAAGTCACAGCGACGCGTCAGATGCAGCCACGTTCGCTCCGGATTCAGGGACAGCGGCATCTGCAGCCARCCAACGTAGTCGATCTTCAGGGAGCCCGTTAGCAGCTGATCGAAGGGCGTGTTGCCAATGAAGAACATGGACTTGAGCACCGAGGTCTTGGCCTCCTTGATGTTCTGGCCCAGCACGCCCTGGAACGGACTTGGCTCGTTGTCGCCCGTGCCCAGCTGCTCGAGCAGCCAGTCCTTGTTGAACTTCAGATAATTATAGATCACCTTCAGCGCCTGCTTGCCGATGTTTGTGGTCAGCACATCGCTGGCCAGCACCTCGGCTATGTAGTCGGCAATGCCCACATCCAGTTCCATGGCATAATTGGCCGGCGGACTGTGGCTCARRCGCTCCGATTCGGCGTTGGTCATGGCCAGGTCATCCATTTTGACGGTGCTGACGGCGCTCATGCCGCCGGCGCCACGTCCGCAGCTGCTGCCGAAATCCGTGTCCAGATTGATGCTCTCCTTGGCCTGCTTGAGAAACAGCTCGATCTGATCCGTGTGCTTGTCGTCCTCGTCCACTGAGCAAATGGCCTCCGACAGGGAGTAACAAATGGCAGCCTTGTCCTCATTCTTGGCTGTGAAAKAGAGTTAAARGATATGAATATATTTCCCTTCCTTAACCCACATCCGAAGCTCACCCTGCTCCTGCGCCTCGGCCGTCTTGATCAGCTCTGTGTAGAGCGCTGCGAAGACCACCTGCAGCAGCACCGAGTCGCCCAATGGCCGCGTGGACACTGGTATTATGTCCTGCAGCAGGGCTGTGATCTTATACAGGCCCTCGGGCATGCAGTCCCAGATCTCTGAGATGCAGGTCAGCGCCAGGGACATGGCCTGGTACATGCTGGCGCCGTTCTCCACGGCGTTGATCAGCATCTCGACGACGCAGTCGAGCACTGGGTACACAAAGTGCATGATGGCCTCCAGCCAAGGCGTGCGCTTCTGATTCCACACCTGACGCTTGTCCAGGCAATCGCTCCAGCCGCTCACGGCGTGCTCCTCCAGTGTCCTTATCAGGCAGGACTTGATGTCGACGGCCTTGCCCACGGCCACAATCAGGTAAGTGAGAGATAGGACAATCTGGTAGTTGGACTGGCCAACGGGATCTGTAAAACTATAATAATTATAAAGGAAAGATGGCTTATTCCCTTTGGAGCTCGCCTATGTCCGCAGCTATGGAGTCGGTGACATTGAAGCACTCGCCACG